CCGCTACTGCTACTACTGGTACTACTACTACTACTACGACGACGACGACGACGACTACAACAACAACAACAACAACAACAACTACTACTACTACTACTACTACTACTACTACTACTAGTACGAGTTTTACTTCAACGAAGGACGATGCGATTGTTGTTATGCTGCCCTTGTTACCAGGATGACGATTGCTTTCTCATCGCGCTGAGTTTCAGTTTTGCTACTGGTACCAGTAATGGCTACCGTTTGTTGGGTGTGGGCTGGATGATGTGATACCCGCCTCACCAACGCCCAGGTGCAGAGGCAGTGGGGCGGCCCGGTGTTTTTCACCAACATCGATTGCCGACTGCCATGACGATTGCGCATTGTTGTCTGGTGTAGTTAGAGCGGGTATTGCGGTGACGAGTGACGGTGATGATACCGAAAGCGAATGATGATAGGGAAGAACTGATGGATGGATTATGAGATATGGTCACAGGATATGAAGACAATGAGGATGATGCGGTGGTGGTAACAATCATGACGAATGCCGGGAAGGACATGATGTTCATGCTAGTAACTATGATGTTGCTGATGACGATGGTGGCGATGATGATGGTGCTGCTGATGATGCTAGCATGCTCTTTGGTGAAAACGATGTCGACGCATCTTCTGCTTTGACGGAGATGTGCACGTGCCACCTTGTTTCCTTAGTTTTCCCACTCCTTCTGCATCCTGTAGTTCGCATACTCGTGGACCGGAAGCCCAAGACCCTCCTGAGGCAGGGAATCACCAACATGGACATGATCGGCCAACGCCTATACACCGGCAGGACTGGGCACCCTTGCTGCCAATTCTCATGCAAGATATTCCAACATCCTGTTCTGGTATCCTTTTAACCTTAGCATACGCGGCTTCGGATTGTCGGCAGTTCGTGTGAAGGCACGTCATTGCAATGTCCACCCTGGTCTTTGCCCGCACGCTCTACAAGTCCGCGAGAGAATATGCGGACAAGAAGATGCCCGGTGCTTAGCATGACAGCTAGTTCTGCGCTCCCACTCAGTGCGTAGAGCCTGAAGAAGTATCATTATTCTTATTATAACTGTGATTACTCTTATTATATCTATTTTCCCCTTAGGGTTCCGTAGCATAACTCTACCCTAGTATTCCCGAAACCTATTCTAATCATCATGGCCCCAAACCCTAACTCTATAAACACTAAACCCTAAACCCTAACCCCTCAACCCCTAAAGGCCCCTAGATAGAGTAGCCCGGCGAGGTGTTGGTCTCCGCAGGGTGGCATGCCACTGAGCTCTGTGCCGCAGTTGGCAGCCTTGTATTTGGAGACGGACAAGGCGAATGGGTGCAGCTTTTTCGGCGTTTTTAGGGTTTGGGTTTTGAGGTTTAGGGTTTTTCGTTAGGGGCTCAGGGTAACCCTGGTCTTGAGCCCTACACTCCTTAAGCCCCCAAAGAGCCCTGTTAAGGGTCGCCCTGATCTTAAGCCCTACTCTGAGAGCCCTCAAAGAGCCCCGTCTAGAGCCCTTGTGGAGCCCTAGCAGTCTATATAACCGCCTGTCTAGAGCCCGAAACCCTAAACCCTAAACCCTAAACCCTAAACCCTAAACCCTAAACCCTATATAACCGCCTGTCTAGAGCCCCTCTGCAGGCCCCATGGAGCTCCGAGCACATCTAGGAGAGACCTCGGTCCTAGCCCTGAGTCCGAAGTCCCAAACCCGAAAACCTTGGCGACCTAGGGTTTAGGATCTAGGGTTTAGGGTTTAGGGTTTAGGGTGTCTAGGGTTTAGGGTTTAGGGTTTAGGGTTTAGGGTTTAGGGTTTCTAAGCCCCCCCAGCCCCACCCAGTAAGAAAACGCTAAACCCTAAACCCTGAACCCCAAACCCTAAACTTGAAACCCTACAGAAAGGGTTCCCGAGGGCTTCGGACCTGCTTTCAAACCCTTATAACCCGTCCTTGACCACATCGCACCCAGTCCGAGGTTTAGGGTTTAGGGTATAGGGTTTAGGGGTACACGCTGAAGACTAAGAAGCCTTGCAACCTCTACGATGCAAAGCTTCTGCGCCCAAAAACCCCAAAACCCTGAAACCTAAACCCTTCGACCCCAAACCCTAAACCCCTAAACCCCTAAACCCTAAACCCATGGACCGTTGCAAGGCGGACACCAAAAAGACACTCAAAAAAAAAAGCCATGGACCCTGGTTTTAAACACCCTAAACCCTAAACCCTAAACCCTAAACCCTAAACCCTAAACCCTAAACCCTAAACCCTAAACCGTCAGTCCAAACGCCCCCCCTTCCGCAGCCACCAGGATCTCGGCCGGATCGAGGCGAGCTGTGGTGTGGGTTTTAGGGTTTAGGGTTTAGGGTTTAGGGTTTAGGGTTAAGGGTTTAGGGTTTAGGGGGGGGGGGGTTGAGAGAGGGGTTGAGGGTTTAGGGTATAGAGGTTGAGGTTTAGGGTATAGAGGTCGAGGGTTTAGGGTATAGGGGTTGGTGGTTTAGGGTATAGGGGTTGGTGGTTTAGGGTAGAGGGGTTGAGGGTTTAGGGTAGAGGGGCTTGTTCGGTTTAAAGGTTTGCGCTGTTTAGGAAGTTGGGGTTGACAGTTCCAGATTCCAGGTTTCAGGGGTTACTGCCATTTAGGCTTTAGGGTTTCAGTGGATTAGGGCTTAGGGTGTCGGAGTTTTTGCTTGAGGCTTTCGCTGTTAGTTTCTTGTTTGCTTGTTCGATTTCGATGTCAAGACTCTGAAGTGTTGTGATGCGGTTGTGGGTAAATCTCATTGCTTCTATTCCGTTCGGGGCGCTGCTTTCTGAGGCACTGCCGGGGGGTCGTTCTGGCAGGTCCCCCAAACCCCAAACCCTAAACCCTAAACCCTAAACCCTAAACCCTAAACCCCAAACCCTAAACCCTAAACCCTAAACCCTAAACCCTAAACCCCTAACCCAAAATCGTAAACCCAAAGCCCTAAGCCCCTAGCCATCGATTCCCGTCTTGCCCTACGCAGACCTCTCAGAGCTGAAACGCCCCAAACCCTGAACACAGAACCCTGGGCTCTAACTCTAAGGTTGCAAGTATGGGCCCCTAATATGGACCCTTAGGCCTTTCTGGGGACCCTTAAGGGTACATATGGGGTATATAGTAGGTGTATAAGGATCCCAGGGTTAAGGGCCCATACTAGGGGCCCATGGTTTCAACCTTAGACTGACACCCCAAACTAAAGCCTAGACCCAGACCCTCGGCCCTGAACCGTCGCTGTTGTAGGAGTTAAGGGTTTAGGGTTTGAGGGTCTAGGGGTTTAGGGTTTAAGGGTTTAGGGGTTTAGGGGTTTAGGGTTTAGAGGGATCTATAATATACGGATTCATAGGGGTTTATAGGGGTTTAGGGTTTAGGGTTTAGCTAACAGCGTGAACAGCTCATGTTTTGATCTGCAGCTGTTGTGCCCTCGCTGCATCTGCATGTCTCATCCCATAGTCCTGAGCCTGAGCCACTCAGCTTCCCAGCGAACATGGTTTTACAGGTAAGGTTTTGGGTTTAAGGTTCAGGGATAGTTCGAAGTGCTATTCCCATATAGTCCTTGTGTAATCATAGTATAATATGGTTCAGGGTGACGGGTTTAGCTTAGCCCTAAACCCTAAACCCTAAACCCTAAACCCTGGTCCCTAAACCCTAAACCCTAAACCGTTGATTGTGTGTAGTGCGAGATTCACAGCTTCGGGTATAGGCTGGCGCCTACCGATTTGAAGGCCAAGCTCCAAAACCTAAACCTCTAGGCCATAAAAGCCTACCAAACCCTTACACTTAGGGTTTAGGGTTTTAGGGTTCACTTAGGGTTTACGGTTTAGGGCTTAGGGTTTAGGGTTTAGGGTTTTAAAACCCTAAACCCGAAGCCCTCTTCAGGGTTTTAGAAGCAGGACTGCTGGTCCGAATTCTGACATTGTGACTAGACCCCCACCCCAAAAGAATATGTCAAAGCCCTTTTCTCGCTATTCAGGTTCCACTGTGAAGCCTTAAACTCCTGAACTCTAAAGCCAGAAGCCCCTGTTCATTTCTATCCTTTTGAGTTTGTTTTAAGTTGACTTTGGGCCCTTTTCCTATACCTCTTCGCCGTGCATCCCTGATAAGTTTGGGTTCAGATTTTAGGATTATGGGTTTGGGGTTTAGGGTTTCGGGTTTAGGGTTAGGGTTGAGGGTTCAGGGTTTAGGGTCTGGGGTCATGCTGGTGTGACTGCGCGCCGGGCACATGCCGCAGCCCTTCATCTCAGCGCAGTGTGGGCTGTCCGCGCCCCAGGGAACGCTAAACGCCAAAAACCCGAACCAAAGCATCCAAAGCCAGAAATCCCGCAACACACGCACACGCACACACACACACACACAAACCTGTAAAGCCCAAGCCCTACACCTTGAAGCCAAAGAGCCCTTGAACTTTAAAACACCCGAGTCGGCTATCTCTTCAGGGGTCCTGAGCTCAAAGCCCTCTCGTCGTAAGCTTGAAGGCTTACTGTAGGCTCTTGTCAGTTTTGCACCAAACACTGTTGTGATTATTGACGTCCCTGAACTAAACAGCATTTTTTTGCAGGCTTCTTCGAGCTTTTGGGCGAGACACCAATGGAGGTATGCGTATATTTGATCATATATGTATATATATAGATGAATGAGCAAGCTGTGGATTCTATGAAATTCCGTACTGTTTAGGGTTTAGGGTTTCTGCAGCGGTTACCTAGTCGGAATCAGCGACGGATCGGTTCCGAGGTACAGCTGCGTATGCGTCCTGGACCCTCAGGCAGGCTGTGTTCGGAGGGTTCAACAGTCCTAGAGTCCTAGACGTGTCTGAGAGGTTTCCACTTGCTTGGGGAGTGATGGGGTCGTGGAACGGCCCTAGGCCCTAAACCTAACACCCTTAAACCCTAAACTTCCAAAACCCCTAAAACCCCCCACCCTCTGAACCCCCAAACCCCCAAGCCCCTACACCCCTAAACTTCCTAAACCCCTAAACCCCTCAACCCCCAAAGGGCTCCGCGAAAGGGTATCATAAGGGCTTGAATATAGGGGCCTGAATATGCGGAGGCCCTTGAGAACTTGACGAGGTCATATATGTGCAGTGTATCGAGGAAACTTTTTCCGGAAAGGTGAGTGATATGAAATTTGAAGCACATGCAGCAGGCATGCGGACGAATTCTCGTACGTACAAACGCAGGAGGCAAATACAATTGTATGGCTGTTTCTTATTTAAAGCGATGGTGATATCTTCCAAAAGTGTGTCAGGCGTGGCATTTCGTGACTTGGACGTGTTTGTTTGTGTTTTGTTCGGTCATATTTTGTATTTTTCGGGCTTGCGTTATGTGGACGCGTCTGACCGCATGACAGTAGCTATGGACACAGAGCAGTCGCGTTCTGTCGGGGTTTCGGAGCATTCTCTAACACTTATTTTCAGGGCATAAGTATGGCTAAGTCTGCTAAGTTATAGTTCAGTATAGCACAGTCTGTGTGGGTTGCATTAGGAAGGACAGAATGCGCAACATGTGCTTCGCAAGTACGACTCTATAAAGTGCGCAAGAAGCAAAGCCTCGGAGATGACATGTTCTGAAGCAGTATAGCGTGAAGTGCGCATGTACAGGTCTTTGGAAGGTAGAACAAGCACCAGAATAGTGTTGGTAACTACTGAGGCCCCTACAGTACATCAGCGCCTTTTCATGCAAGTTGAGCTAATCGGCCAGCAACATGATTCCGTTATCTCCCATGAAACCCTGTGCATACGTCTACTGCCAGTTTAGTGCTGTGTGGTCGTTGAACCCAGAACCCTAAAACCTCTGCAGGCCTAAACCCCTAAGCTTCTAGATTTGCGAAAAGGCTCTAAGGGGGGTCTTACTCTCTTTTACGTGGTTTGCCTTCAGACCTACATTACCTTCCACGATTTGGGGTGTAGAGCTGAGGGCCGCCGCTACCACTACCACCATCACTACCACTACCACTGCCACTACCGCTAACACTACCTCCACCACTACCACCACTACCACCACGACTGCCACGGCCACTGCCACTGCCACTAGCACTACCGCCACCACCACTGACCACTGCCATTACCACTACCACTACCGCTACCACTGCTGCCGCTGCGTTCTGGGTTTTGTATTCAAGTCTAGGGTGTTTTTTTTGTTCTCGGGGTTCGGGATTGGATTTCGGGATTTGGCTAGTGTTTCTGATATGGCTTGTGTTGACAGGGTGTCGTTGGTTATTCGAGTGTTTCAGGATCCGGGACCGGGTTTTACCTTTCAGGGTTGGCGGTTTTCTTGCTTAGTGTGGTAGGTGGTCTTCTCCTGTTTAAACGGGTAGCTCGGGCACTCAGATCATGCCAAGAAAGATCAAGCTTTCTCTAGCAGTATAGGCGTCGGAAAAGTCAGCAATACAGTTCCTCAGTGTTCCTCATTATCGTAATATGCTACACCCTAAACCCTAAATCTTAAACCTTAAATGAGTGAACCCAATTCCTTCGAAGGGGGGTTGATGAAGCAGGGTTCTGCGGTACATGAAGTCTGAAGCCTTTGCCCTGGCCGCATCGAAAAAGTCCCAAACCCTCGATACCCTGGCCCTAAACCCGAAACCCGCAACAGGATCAGTGTGGTGGAGCCCCAGAGCCAATGAATCCTGCTACAGCCGAGCCTCTCGTGGCACCTGGGGCCTGTTTTGCTGGGAGTTGCATGTGCAGGTGCAGGGTTTGGGTTTAGTTCTGGTTTAGTGGGTTTTAGGTAGGGCTTTCGGGTTCTGCGAAATCCAGGCGTTTGAGGTTATGGCGTTTCTGAAACCCGTCGATTCAGTGGCTTTCACCTTCAAGATGCGATGCTTCTTAGGTTACAGGGAACGGGCTTCTTGAGCTCCGATGCGGCTTCGGAGGGGTTTGGGAGTGGTATACCGCCGTGAACTCTGAAATGGTGTAATGCAGTACTTCGGGGCGGAGCGTTGGAGGCTCAGATTTCGGATTTCGTGCACGTCACAGCTGAGAGCGAATGTCGAAGGCCCAGCTCATGTCTTTTGCCATAAGGTCTTTTTGGTTCCTTGACGGTGACTGACCTGCAACCAATACCGCCCCCAAGCGTAAAAACCTACCCTTAAATTGGTCGAAAAAGATTCCACAACCCCAAAACCTCAACTGTATGCTGAACCCTCAACCCTCCAAGCCCCGAATTCGAACCTAAGGTCTTTGCCGTCTTAACCCCAAAGCCGAAAGCCTGCTCCCCCCTGCGTGTTGACAAGGATGCCCTGCCCTCCGACACGCTCGTCAAGCCCAAGCCCGCGATGGCGGCGCAGGAAGCGAGTGGCTAATATAGGGGCTTAGATAATTGCCTATGTTATTTTGGGGGCTCCTTATTAGAACTATAGTATATTCTACACCAGAACCCTATTCTTATGTTATTTTGAGCGCTCCTCATTAGAACTATAGTGTATTCTACGCTAGAGCCCTATTCTAATTATTGAGGCCCCATCAGTACCGACCAGGGATCAACCCTCCAGCTGATATTTCGTCCCCATCCCTTTTAAGACCACGCCATTCATAGAACAACATGGTAAGGATACTGGCGTTAACAAGACCAACAACAATAGCCATATCAATAATTTACTAGTAGTCGTAATAATGGTAATGATGATAGTAGTAACAGTAGTGATAATAATAATAACAAAAGATAAACAAATAAGAAGAATAATAATACTAATAACAATAATAGTAATAATAGTAACAAGAATCATTATCGTAATAATCATAATGATAATAGGAACAATGATAATAATAATAAGAAGAACAAGATAGAGCTCATACTAACTCCAGAAGACTGCGCAGGACATGGCGCCCATCCTGGAGGATGACGAGGCCATGCATCCCCGCGGAGTTTCGAAAACATCTCACGGGGGAGAGGTTGACGCTTCTAGGACTCTAGGGTTCTATGGTTCTAGGATTCTAGGACTCTAGGGTTCTAGGATTCTAAGGTTTAGGGTTTAGGGTCTAGAGTTTAGGGTCTAGAGTTTAGGGTTTAGAGTTTAGGGTTCTAGGATTCTAGGTTCTAGGATTCTACGGTTTAGGGTTCTAGGATTCTAGGGTTTTAGGGTTTAGGGTTTGCTGTAGGGTCCTGAATAATTGCCAAAAGTATGTACTGGGCCCCAAAACCCTATTCTAATCATTAAGGCCCCTAAACCCTAAACCCTTATAGTAGCCCTTATAGAACCCTTTAAGGAACCCTTAAAAAGGAACCCACATTGAGGTTTTAAGTCGAACGAAGGCCTGAACACGGTAGCAGCTACAACTCGAACATCCTGCAGTCAGCAAGCAGAGCCCTGGATCGCAGGATCTTTATCAGGAGGACCCCTGAGTGAGGTACACCTAATATAGAAGCCTAAATAACCAACCAATACTATTTTTGGGGGTTCTCTCAGCCTCATTCCTACCAAATCCGAAGAGATCCCTTACTCCCTAAACCCTAAACCCTAAACCCTAAACTGAAACGGTGAAACTTTCTTTTTTCGGACAGAGAACGCGAGTCGAGGCCGAAACAGAGGAGAGCGCCCCAGCAGGCCGGGAGTCGGGCCAGGGCCTTGGGTTTAGGGTTTTCGGAGTTTAGGGTTCTAGGCTTTAGGGTTCTTGGGTTTAGGGTTCTAAGGTTAGGGTTTGGGGTTCTAGGGTTCAGGGTTCAGGGTTCTAGGGTTCTAGGGTTTAGGGTTTAGGGTTCCAGGGTTGACTGTTTAGTGATTTTACAGTTTAGGGTTTAAGGTTAAGGGTTTAGCGTGTAGGGTTTAGGGTTATAAGTTGTAGGGTTTAGGGTTTGATTTACAAGTTTACGGTTTAAGGTCTAGGGTTTAGGGTTCGGGTTTAGTTAATTTAGGGTTCTGGGGTTTAGGGTTTCGGGGTTTAAACATGTAGGGTTTCTTTAGGGTTTGGGGTTTGTGCTTGGGGTTTTGGGGTCTGGGGTTTAGGGTTTAGGTTTTAGGGCTCGGGTATAGACCACGGATGAATCAACCACCCTTTTCAGGGCCCAGCAGAAGAACCCCCACTATCATCCCTACGACGAGAGAGGGGGTTTGTTCATCAGATTCTGCATAAGGGTGATCTTGGAGGGTTCTGCCGTGAGGATCGCCCAAAGAGACCGCACTCCGTCTCAACCAGGTGGTAATGTAGGGGCCTGAGTAGTTCCTATGCCATTTTGGTGGGTCCTTATTATAATTCTAGTATGATGGGCCCCAAAACCCTATTCTAATTATTAAGGCCCCCATAGTATCTTCGCCAATGCCTAGAGCCGTGTTGCAGGTGCATGAGCTTGTATTCAGGATGCAGCCCTAAACCCTAAACCCTTTTCATATGCCTGGCCAGACGCTGTGAAGCCCGGGTTAAGGGTTTGCAGGGTTTAGGGTTTAGGTCAACTTCAGACCCCAAGCTCCAAATCATTAGTCTCGACATCCCCAGCGATATTGGCTTGAACCGGTTTGCCAGGACCAAAAGACAATTACCCACGTACAGACCCAGAAGACAGGCTGCAATTGGAGACTGCGCCGATTTGCTTCCCCCCTTTGTTTCAAAGAGATGCAACGCTTAGATGCGCAAGGAACCCTGAATGGAACCTTCCTAGCAGCACCCTTCTTGTACTCTGCAAGGAACTATTGAAGGAACCCCTTTCTGGCAACAGTTTTTCTGAACCTTGCAACTGAACCCTCTTAGGACTTTTTTGCAGGAACCCTTAAAAACCCTAAACGTGAACCCTAAACCCCAAAGGAACCCTAAACCCTAAAGGAACCCTAAACCCCAAGCCCTAAAGGAACCCTTTGAACCCTAAACCCTAAACCCTAAAGGAACCCTTTGAACCCTAAACCCTAAACCCTAAAGGAACCCCTTGAACCCTAAACCCTAAACCCTAAAGGAGCCCTTTGAACCCAAAACCCAAAACCCTAAAGGAACCCCTTGAACCCTAGACCCAAAACCCTCAAGGAGCCCTTTGAACCCAAAACCCAAAACCCTCAAGGAACCCCTTGAACCCTAAGCCCTAAACCCTCAAGGAACCGCGAAAGCCAGGCCTCCTGCAGACCGGGGGCTCCAGCTCCTCAGTCGCCCCTCCCCGCGCCGCCGCGCCCGCGCCACGCCTGCCCGGCCGGGTGTGGTCGCGCCGGCGGGTGCTTTTCTGGGGGGTTCGGGGGCTTATGCTATTACAAGGCCTCTATACGTACAGTTTGTTTATAAAGGGTCTATAAGAGTTTGTTCGAGACTTGGGAGTGGAGGAGGAAAGGGAGCTTGAGGTTTAGGATTTTGTGCCATTGGGTTTAGTTCAGTGCTTGAGGTTTGAGTAGGCTTGTCCTGAGCATTATGGGCTCCTGGGGAGCCTAGCATCAAACCTTTGCCAAAAACAAGAAACCTTATATAGCGCCCTATAGAATCCTACCGAGCCGCAAAGCCCAAACCCTAAACCGCAAACCTTAGACCCAAACCCGAAACCCCAAACCCTAAACCCCAAACCCTAAAAAGCCTCATGGGAAGAGCCATCGTCTTTTTCATGGAGTTCCAGGCCTTGGCCGCCGGTGCCGGTGCCCCGGGAGTGCGCAGGTGACGGCCCGAAGGGTTTGGGGTTTGGTTTAGGGGTTTAGGGCTTTTGGGGCTTTGGGGGTTCAGGGTTTTGGGGGTTGAGGGTTTTGGTTTAGGGCTTTGGATGTTTAGGGTTTCGGAAGTTTAGGGATTTAGGAAGTTTTGGGGTTCATTGTGATCCATTCAGTGTCCCGAAATGCCGACTCAACAGTCAAAAGACAACTGCAGCCACCGCCACGAAACTTCGCCTGACGTGGCTGTCCTTGCAGATCCTGCAGGTGCTCGCCGGCAGCATGCGCGGGATGCCTTCAATGTGCAGGCTTTACCCTAAACCCTAAACCCTGAACCCTTAAGCCTTAACCCTAAACCCTAAACCCTGAACCCAGACCCGAAAACCCTAAAACCGAATTTATCCCAGGCACGCTTTCTTTTAAATGTTGCAGACCCTGCATAGTAAGGTCTGCTGGTCTCGAGATCCCGAGACCAGGTGTGCTTAAGTTTGGGCTTTAGGGTTTAGGGTTTAGGGTTTAGGATTTAGGGTTTAGGGTTTAGGGTTTATATAGGGTTTAGGGTTATCAACCAGGTTTCCTGGATTAGTTGAAGAAGCCCTGTTTAGGGCGCTAGCTGGATCATTGCGAGCAGGAGCTCATCTTTGGTGACGCCTTAGCCCAGCGGGACTTCAGTGACCCTGCCGTGGAAGGCCCGGAGCTGACGGTTTCGGCTCTTAGTGGCTGGTGACATTCGGAGCTTGCCCTAAACCCGAAACCCGAAACCCTAAACCCTGAACCCTAAACCCCAAACCCTAAACCCTAAACCTTGAGCCCCAACCCCTAAACCCTAAACCCTGAGCCCTAAATCCGAAACTGGTGATTCGGCTTGTCGGCTGAAGCATTAGGGCTCTCCAGGGTTTAGGGTCGAAAGCTTCGGGCCTTAGGGGTTTGTGGAGTGTCTTGGAGTCCTGAAGTAGGGACCCTGACACAGATCCTAAATCTTGGGTTTATAATCATAGCCCCAAACCCCAAGCCCCAAAGCACCGACCTAAGCCTAGATTAGTAGGATGTATTGTGAAGGAACTTTGGCTTAGCGGTTCGAGTCTCGCCGCAGTTTGATCTTGCAAGCCTCCAAGATCTCCTTGTTTAGTGAGTCCTAAACGCTAAACCCTGCTGAGTTCCAGGGGTTAGGGTTCAGGGTCGAGAGCTTTGGCAATTGGGTCCTGCTTGTATCTCCGCGTAAAACTCGTTGGCTGCTGGATTCAGAGATCACATTCAGGACTGATCTCTATCCTAAACCCCTAAACCCTACACCCCGACACCCCAAAACCCCTAAACCCCTAAACCCCTAAACACCCTAAACCTTAAAAGCCCTAACAAACCCTAAAAACCCTAAAAACCCGAAACCATAAGTTTTGCCACGGGCCCAGCGTCAGAATCTGGAGACACCGAAGTTTGACCTGGTGGAGTTTGGGGGCCTAGGGTTTTAGGGTTTTTTTGGGTTTTGGGGTTTTTAGGGTTTTTAGGGTTTTTAGAGCTTTTAGGGCTTTTAGGGTTTTTAGGGTTTTTAGGGTTTTTAGGGTTTTTAGGGTTTTTAGGGTTTAGGGCCTAGTGTTCACATTTCAGGGCTCAGGATTTAGGGATTCTGGGCTCTGGGGTATAGGTTTTGGAGCTTGTGGCTTAGCCCCTTTCGAACTTTTTCCTGTTTGGAGCTTATGGGTCTTGGGCTCTACCCTAACCCGCGCCGGCCTTTGAAGCCTAGGCCCACAACCCAGCTCTACACTTAGATAATACGCTATCTCCGACACCCTGAACCCTAAACCCTAAAGCCTGAACCCTGAACCCTAAACCCTAAACCCAAAAGCCTGAACCCGGAACCCTAAACCCTAAACCCTAAACCCTAAACCCTAAACCCAAACCCTAAAGCCTGAACCCTGAACCCGGAACCCTAAGCGCTATGGAACCAGTGCAGAGCCCTGATAAAGCCTGGCCCAGACATCAGCCAGCTGCAGAATGACGAGGCCCGGCGGCCTCCGACAGACCCAACCCCAACCCTCACCTGGTTTAGGGTTTAGGGTTTAGGGTTTAGGGTTTAGGGGTTATCTAATATAGAAGCCTAAATAATTATCAATACTATTTTAGGGGTTCCTGAGTATAATCGTAGTATAGCACCTGAATAATGTAGAGGCCTAAGCAATTTGTTACCAATACTATTTTTGGGCTTCCTTATTTTTGTATAATGGGCCCGCAAAACCCTATTCTAATTATTAAGGCTCCTATATTAAACTCAAAGCCCTGAACCCTTAATCCTGAACCCGAAACCCTAAACCCTACACTGAAACACTAAACCTGAGCCCTAAACCCTAAGCCCTAAACCCTAAACCCTACATTAGCTAGCAGGACGGTTCTTTCCGGGCTTCCAGGTGTCTTTGGAATCCCGACTCCAGTTTTATGATGATGAAGTCCGTGCTATCAGGGTTTAATGATGATTAGAATAGGGCTTTTGGGGTATATATTATACTATGGTTATAACAAGGAACCCCCCAAAATAGTATAGAAAATTATTTGAGCCTAAACCCCTAAACCCCTAAACCCGAAACCCTAGGGTCTAGGGTGTACTTCTGGCCTGGAAGTCCTGGGCCCTTGAAGCCACAGCCCTTAGCTCCACTAGCTGTCAATCCTGTGGCATCGGTAGCACTTTAGGACAACATCCCTCTTAGGGTATACCCTAAACCCTAAAGCGTCCCTCTAAGGGGTCTTAGCGGTGGAGGCCAATAGTCACGAACGGCCTCGGGTTTTGGGATGACGCATCTAGTGCTCGAAATTTTCGGATTAAGTAGCATCCTCATGTATAGCACAAGTATGCACAGACAGTTCCAAAGAATCTGTGGAGACTGTAGAGGGTAAGCCTCCTTTTGGCCGATTCAACGCCGTGTTTATGTAGAGTCAATTCACGGTTTGGCTTCGGAAAAAGCCAGCGTTAAGGATCTACCTTTCAGGCTGTATGGGCCACCAAAAAGCACATAAGCAACAATCAGGATAGGCAAATCCCATATATAAATCATCGATTGTGAAGCCGCCTTTTGTAGGGCTTCAGTTTCAAACCGGGAGGTCAGCCCTTGCGGCATTTAATGTAGGGGCCTAAATAATTACCTATATTATTTTGGAGGTTCCTTATTATGAGTAGAGTATAATGGGCCCCAAGAACCCTATTCTAATTAATAAGGTCGCTATATTAGGCTTTAGGATTTTTGTCGGTATGGGTTTACTCGAATCTCAGGGCGCAGAGCGAGAGGGAGTGGGAGGGAGACAGAGAGAGAGCAGTGGACAGGGCCCAGGGGTTCGGGTATCGGGGCACTGGTTTGGGGTACAGTGTGGTGGTACCCAGAGCCTCGAAAACCCCTTAGTAAAGGAATATACCTTAAATTACAATAGGAACCCTAATAAGATTTAAGGTATATTCCTTAATTAAGGGATATATTGGAGGCTCTGGGTATTTTATGAGTCTACGGCCCACTGAAGCTCCCCATGTATTCCGCTTTGCACCTCCGAATCCGGTCGGTCCACGGAGTCTTGTCGGGAGTCTAGGAGCGCAGAGGTCCTTAAACAAAAAAACTCCCGCAACCAATTTTACCCTGAAGCCTAGCCCCTAAAACCTGAACCCCTACACCCGAAACCCCAAATCCCTTGTGAAAAAAACACCCTGAAGCCTAAACCGCTCTGAAACCCAAACCCCAGGCCGCGAAGCTTCTGGGCTGGGGCCGCGGCAGCTTTCGTGCGCAGCTGCGGGCAGTGGCACCCAGCATGCCCATGATAAACCCTAAACCGTAAACCCTAAACCGCACAGAAAGGGACGCTGTGGGGGCCCAGTTTTCCCACACAGTGGATTTGAAGGATTTCTTTTCACAAGCCCCAGTCCAAGCACTGAAGAGGAATGGGGCCGCAACTGGAAAGTTCTTGTACGATATGACAGTTGACCAAAGCTGTCACTAACCAAAGCCAAATCAAGAAGGATGTGATAATACCCTAGACCCAGGACACCCAACAATTTGTCAAAGCGATCAAAGTCAGAAGCCTCAACAGCTTGCGCGGGACCTCATGGCCCGAAATCTCAACAGGCCCCATCAGCTACACAAGAAAATAATTGATGATGGGCAAATATACGAGTCCCACATACAGCAACGATGTCGACGACAGCAACCAGGAACAACAAACACGACAAGAACAGCAGCAACAACAACAACAACAGCGAGAACAGCAGCGAGAACGGCAGGAACAGCAAGAACAGCAACAGCAAAAGCAAAGATAGCGACAGCAACAGCAACAGCAGCAGGAGCAGCAACACGTGGCCAAAACAGAAGCACTATGTCACTATGCGTAGTAGAACCAAGCCGTATTAATGATAATCTATGTCAGTCATGCCGAACAACAGTGCTTTTTCGTTTGCGTCGTTACAGTCCACTCGAATGCAGAGACGCCAGCTCATCATATCTCGACTGCAAATCGGGCGTCCCACCTCAAACCGTAAACCCAAACCCCTAAACGTCTGATCCGTCAAGCCCTAAACCCTGAACCCTCCCCTCAGGTGCCCTTTGCGTGCATTTTCGTCTTGTGTATATATGTATATACACACGCACCTACACATACATAAACATAAGCCTATGCGTATATGCATAAGCACACACATATCGACATGTACAGATATGTACAGAAGTATTTATAAGTTTAAATTCCTTACTCGCTGAAATACGTATACATGTGTGGATGGATGGATGGATGGATGGATGGATGGATGGATGGATGGATGGACGGATGGATGCATGCATGCATGGATGAATGAAGGGATGGATGGATGGATGTGTACATACACATGTACACTCGCATGTATACCTATATGTACATGTGGAAGTATATGCGTTTGTATGTGCATATCTGTACATGTATGTATGTATGTATGTATGTATGTATGTATGTATGTATGTATGTATGTATGTATGTACCTATGTATGTATCTATGTATCTATGTATGTATGTATGTATGTATGTATGTATGTATGCATGTATGCAAGCATGCACCTATGGATGTATGCACGTACCTATGTATGCATGTGGGTGTGTGTATACAACATAT